AGTCGGTAGGCTATTGGGCCTATTTTGGTAAGGATCTCAAAAGGTCTGATGTATCTCGGATTGATTTTTCCTCTCTTTCCAAATCTTATAATTCCTTTCCAAGGAGATACCCTTAGCATGACTCTATCTCCAACTTGAAATTCAAGTGATTTTCGTCAAAAGTTGGCATACTTCTTTTGACGATCACAGTCCGTTCTCAACCGTTCCTTGAATTTCACGAACTTCTCGATTGTTTCATGAATAATCCTAGGTCCAGTTAGCAACATGTTCCCTACATGTTTCTTTGCTAGTTGGGTGTCACCAACTTCTACCCAACACAACGGTGACCGAAACTTATACCATATACTACCTCAAATGGTGTAGCCTTTATACTTGTGTGATAACAATTGTTATAGGAAAACTCAACTAACGGTAGGTGAGTATCTAATGTATCTCCAAAGTCCATCACACATGCTCTGAGCATATCTTCCAAGGTTTGTATGGTCCTTTCGCTCTGACCATCTGTATGCGGTTGATTGGCGGTATCCATATTAATTCGGGTTCCTAATGGTCATTGTATTGTTTTCCAAAACCAGGACTTAAATCGGTTGTCTCTATCTGAAATGAACGATGTTGGCATGCCATGTAGTCAGACTTTCTCCTTGACATATTCCTATCTAACTTCTCCATTTTTTCGTTTCCTTAATGGGTAGGAAATGCGCGGACTTATTCAAATGATCGATTACTACCCAAATCCTGTTGAAACTGCTAAGTGTTTTGGTTAGTTTTATATTGAAGTCCATGGAAACTTGTTCCTATTTGCATTCGGGAATTTTTGGTTGTTGCAGTAAACCCGATTGTTTTTGGTATTTTGCCTTGACCTTAGCGTAGGTCAAGTGCTTTGTCACGTAGGTGGTGATTCCTGCCTTCAAGTTCGACCACCAGTACCTTTTCTTTAAGTCGAGATACTTCTTATCAGCTCTTGGGTGAACTGAGTATCTTTTCTTGTAAGCTTCATTTAGTACCAGACTCCTAATGTCGCCAAATTTTGGTACCCAAATTTAGTCCATAAAACACAAGGTTCCATTTTCTTTGGACTCAAATTCTTTCTCCATGTCGTGTAAGCATTCTTCTGCCTTGTTTTCTTCCTTAAGTTTCTCTACTTGGGGTTCTCAAATTTAAGCAAGAAGGTTTGATTAGATAGTTAGAGTGAGCGCTTTCATTTTGCGAGGTTTGAATCATTCATTTCTACTTAGGGCATCGGCTACTACATTTGCTTTGCCCGGGTGGTATCAAATCTCACACTCGTAGTCGTAGCTTAATACATCTTTGTTGCCTCATGTTGAGTTCCTTTTGATTAAAGATATACTGAAGAATTTTTTTGGTCTATGTGTATGACACACTTTGTGCCATACAAGTGGTGTCGCTAGATCTTTAAGGCGAAAACTACAGCTCTCGATTCAATATCATGGGTGATCTAATTATTCTCATGAGTATTGATTTTGCGCAATACATAAGCCATCACTTTGTCTCATTGCATAAGATATGCATACCATGCCCTGACATGATGTGTCACAATAGACAATAAAGTCCTCGGTTCCTTCCAGAAGTGAAAGAATTCGTGCACTACATAACATGTGGTTCAACTTTTGAAACACATATTCTTGTTGTTCTTTCCATTCGAACTTTGTATCTTTCTATGTAAGTTTCATGAGGGGTTATTCTATCTTTGAGAAATTTTCTATAAATCTTCTATAATAGCCTGTCAATCCTAGAAAAATTGATGCACCTTTGTTAGCGTTGTGGGTGCTTCCAAATTCTTTATGGCTTTGATCTTGGAAGGATCTACGTGAATGCCCTTACCACTGGGCACATTTCCTACGAAATGTACTTCTATGATCCAAAATTCACACTTCGAGAATTTTGTATACAATTTCTCCTTCCTTAACAACTCCAAAATGATTTGAATGTGTTTACCGTGTTCTTCCTTTGTTCGTGAGTATATCCATATATCATCAGTGCCTATGATCACAAATTTGTCAAGGTAGGGTTTACAGACATGGTTCATTAAATCTATGAAGACTGATGGGGCATTAGTTAAGCCAAAAGGCATAACTGGGAACTCATCATGGCCATAACGTATTTTGAATGCCATCTTCGGAATGTCCTCTTCTTGCACTTGAAGTTGACGGTGCTCGGACCTCAAATCAGTCTTCGAGTAGAAGTTGGATCCTTGCAGTTGATCGAACAGAGCGTCAATCCTTGGGAGTGGATATATACTCTTGATCGTCAACTTATTTAGTTCTCGGTAATCGATGCACATTCTGAAGGTTCTATCCTTCTTTTTGATGAATAGCACTAGGGCTCCCTACGGTGAGAAACTCGGTCTTATAAATCCTTTATCCAAAATCTCCTGGAGTTGAACGGAAAACTCTTACAGTTCTGAATGGTCTAATTGGTAGGGTGATTTTGCCACTAGACCTGCCCCTGGGACTAGGTCAATTCGAAATTCCACTCCGTGTTGACATAGTCCGGGCAAGTTTTCCGAAAATACATTGGGAAAATCACATACTTTGGGTATGCCTTTGATTTCCTTCTTCTCGCCCCTTTTATCTACGATATGGACCAAGAAAGCGTGTTATTTATTGTGAAGGTACTTATGCACCTTCATGCAAGACATGATTCTAAGGCCTTTGTTAGTCTTGTATTCATAGATTACTAAGGATCCTCGTTGGGTAAGGGTAGTCGTAATACCTTGTCGTAGCATAAGATCTCAGCTCAGTACGGCGATAACCAATCCATGCTGATTGCGACATCGAAGCTACCAATGGTCATAGGCATGAGGTTGACATAAAAGGAGTGGTTATTGAGATTTAAAACACATATTTCTAGTATTTCCTGAGTACTACCAGATTCTCCATTAGCCATTTCTACTATATAAGGCTCGTCTAAGTTCCTAACTTATGGCTTAAAAGTTTTCTAAACTTAGGTGTAATGAAAGTTCTTTTAGCATCAGAATCAAAGATTATAGATGTGTATAAACCGTTAACAGGATGTACCTATCACAACGGTGGGGTCCTGAATGGCATCCTTCATGCCAATCACAAACGCTCTTCCTCGAGCTTTTCCTCCCTCGTTCCTCAGCTTTGGTAAGTTCCTTTTGATATTCCCAACAATACCACACTCAAAGCATGCTCTATTATCTGGAAAAGCAGCCATGCCTGGGTTTGTTATGGCAGTAGGAGTACTCATGGGCTGACGTCAATATTTCTTAGTATGCCCTCTGCGATTGCACATATTATAGTGCATGTAGTTTCCAAAATGGTGGAAATGACACGAATTGCACTTCGGGTGTTTTACCATCTACTGTCCTTGAGATATGGGGTTTGTAACCATTATCAGGGTCGGACTAATGGCGTAGGCCCTGGCAATCTCCTGTCTCTTGTTGGGAGCTTTCTTGGAGGTACCCTTGAATCTGTTGCAAGATTTGCGCTTGTTTTCCCTTGACCAATGTGCCTCCTCTTGTTTCTTGTTTTGTCGGGCTGTAAGCTAATCTTTTAGCACTATCTTATGTCGATGGTCGAGAGTCCATGACCAACCCTTGAATGGGTTGAACCAATCCCATAAGTACCTTTCCACTTTCTTATACTCAGAGTTCACAAAGGTTTGACAAAGGGTAGTCAGGTCGTTGAACCTATTGGTGTAGTTCAAGATTTCAGCATCACTCATGGTCAAGCTCCTGCTCTAATTTTTGCATCTCCTTCCAAAGACAATACTCATCAATGAGCATTTTCTTAAGTTTCTCCCAAAATAGAGCATTGGCGTTGGCGAGGCCTAGAGTCTTCACATAGCCATTCCACCAAGATATGGCCACATCTGCAAATGTGTAGGCGGTGAACTTGACTCTGCTTTCCTCAACACAAGAGTTGATCTTCGAAGACATACTCAATCTTCTCGATCCACCTTGTGAGGCCTACAACTCCCTCATTCCCATAGAACATCCTAGGTTTCTAGTTCATTAAGTCCTTGTAGGTACATGCTTTTGGTGAACCTTTCTCATTTCATTGGGAGCATTATCCTCCTGTTCATGAGTCTGTATGATATCAATGTGCGACTAGTGCCTCAATTATCATTTGTTTGATCATTGCCTCAATAGTCATGTGGTCTAGGGGTGGGTTAATTTGTGCCGACTGAGCATCCTGCTCAACTTCAAGACCTTGACTAGATCTGGTAATTCTTGGGGGTGTCATTTCCATATTCCTAAATCTAGTGTCAACATGTGATTTAATTCTTTGGAATTAGTAAGTTCGTACCCTCATGGTTAGGTCGTGGTGTGTTAGTGTTAATGTTAATGGAAAAAACAATAACATCACAGATTTCATGCAACTAGGTATGTACAATATATATTATATATCATCACGAAGTCAACAAAATAGGGTGTGGTTAGGGTAGGAAAAGTTTGGAGATTACAAAAACATGCGTGTGTAAGCTTTTCCTATTACCCTAACCTAAAAGAAAAGTATCCATGTCCCTCCTAGCTATCATGCTAGAGCCAAAACAAAATAAAACTAAAATCCACAGTACACTATAAGAATTTGAATAAGTTGGACTAATTGTCTATATACAAACTCTAGCAAAATATCAGTAAGAGAGACTCAAGACTCCACCCTCTCAAACTAGAGCTCTAATCAATCTGTGTGGCTGATCACCTCCTCTAGCACCTGGTGATGGAATTGGGTCTCCTCTTACAACTGATCTTGCACGAATAAGGTCCTCATCACCATCAATTATATCTCCTCCTCCAAGTACTAGACCCGCTCTATGAGTTACATCAAATCCATCCTCAATAAGAAACGCTCAGTGTCCATCGATCTAATGCGGTCTAAGTGATGGGCGGTGCAGGGCACCAGAAGAGAGATGACATGGTCGATAAGAGTATCTGGGGCTAGGTGAGGTATAATAGATGACTCCACCACCTCGAACCGTGAGCTGATAGCCTCCTCATGTGCCTAGGCTCATATCTAGGGCATCCAAATGGTGTCTTCATAGGATTTCTTTGTTGGCATTGGTGATGCTGGTGGGGACGCCACTCTCTTCCATGAGGAGGTAGCAGCAGCCTTCCTTAGGGTATGCTTCACCCGAGTACCTATGGGTGTCATGTAATACCAATGGGAAGGAGTGGGGCAGGGTGGTGAGGTCTCTACTGAGGTGGTAGTGTCCTCCTCATCCTCATCAGGCTTGTACTCGAAACTAAGAAGCTCTGACGGGTGCTCAGGTGGAGTATAATCGGGCTCCGTGTCATCACCGTCCTCCGGGGTATAATGGATGACTCCAATGCGGTCTAAGTGATGGGCAGTGCAGGGCACCATAAGAGAGATGGCATAGTCTATAAGAGTATTTAGGGATAGGTGAGGTATAATGGATGACTCCACCACCTCGAACCGTGAGCTGCTAGCCTCCTCATGTGCCTAGGCTCGTATCTAGGGCATCTAAATGGAGTCTCCACGGGATTTCTTTGCTGGTAGTGGTGATGCTGGTAGGGACGCCGCCCTCTTCCATGAGGAGGTAACAGCAGCCTTCCTCAGGGTATGCTTCACCCAAGTACCCACGGGTGTCATGTAAGACCAATGGAAAGGAGTGGGGCAAGGTGGTGAGGTCTCTATTGAGGTGGTAGTGTCGTCCTCGTCTTCATCGGGCTCGTACTTAGAACTGAGAAGCTCTGACGGGTGCTCAGGTGGAGTATAATCGGGCTCTATGTTATCACCGTCCTTTGAGGTATCCATAGGATTTGAGTCATCAAATATTGCACGCTCCTCCTCTAATGAGGAAGCTGCCCTCCATCTTTCGACAAACCTGTATAATACATCAAACATGGAGATGTTTATAAGAGATATGAAGATCAATTAAATACTATATAATATCAAATTATAAGTATGTAATAGATAGTACCCGTAACTCCTGAGTCCCCTACCATGTCGTAAGTTAGAGGTTCCTAGGGTGGAAAAATCCTCGAGTGTAGATGTAGTGGAGTTAGCAATCCCCAGACGTAGAAGTCTCTAAGACAAGTCTCTAAGTATAAAATCATTGCCTATGCATCCAATCTAGAAGTCCTCAAGCATTTAGATTGTCAACCACCGTATCTGAGTTTGGTCGTGCGTTTCTCGAACCATAATAAAACTTAGTTGCGTATACTAGGTCTTGTCGTGGTACGAATGTTGTACTATACCAACTCTAAATATGGTTTTTGACCTAAAATCTTGAGTTGCGACCTCATGGGTTCGTATTGTTGGGTAGTAGGTATACTTATATGAGCATATCTATATCGCTCTTAATATTTGTTGGGTTGGGTGTGTTTTAGGGTTTTGTACTCCAAGACCATCAAGTAAGGATAGGCCAAATGAGAAGTACCAGAGGGTAGGACCATTTTAGCATATAGCCATTCTGAAATATAGCAACCCAAGCGATAGTTCAAACTAGTCACCTCTCTCGTAAGTAATCAAGAACTAGGGTAATTTACTAATAGTTAAATTTAGGTTTAAAGGGTTAAATCTAATCAGAGTGTCGTCCTAGATTATAGTTGTATTTCCTAAGGAAATACTAGTTCGCTATAATCTATAGCTCTGATACCAATCTGTCACACCCTTGACCAACGGTAGAAGCACCAGGCTGTGCGACATCACAATGTTGGGATTCAGCCCAAGATATGTGTTGAATAATACATAGGATGTACCAAACAACATAGCTATTCATTCATTAAATAAAATATGTTACCTAATTGTTCGAGATACCGGTAAGTTATGAGAGCAAAATACAAAAGCAAATCACATAAGTTTTAGGCTGCATCACCGGGGTTATCTCCTCCTTCAGACGGATCATTCTCCTGAGAATACATGCGGTTTGAGAGGTCAGCATAATGTTGGTGAGTCCATAGGTTTTATTGTTACCAAACGTATGTAGGTACTTTAGTTATTTTTTTATCCTAAACTCACTTCCTTGAGTTTGTGAGTACTATCACTACTTCCATAAGTAGGTTCCTAGTGGTAGTCTAAAATAGTTAGATGTTGGTTGATCTAAAATCCCTTCGTTGAGTTTGTGTGTACTATCACTACTTAATTAGATTAGTTCCTAGTAGTAGTTTATGATAGCTAGTTTTAGTTTGACAAAGTTATGATGAGTTCCTATGATCGAGCTATGACTGTTCATCTCAAAAATCCACGACGCTTCATCGAGCTATAACTAACGACCATACGTGGTAGTGTCAATCATGTATAGATCTATACATATATCTCTTGATCACTTAAGAATTAACGATTATAGGTCGAGAGCTAGCTGAAAATCTATCTATTCGTTGATAAATAGTGTCTCATCTAACTCTAGTCATGGGGGCCTATATAACGTCCCATTTTTTTCACAACCCAAAATTTTCAATTTTATTTAGGTAATACTTCCAAATTTATGAATCTATTATTAAGAAAACTGTTTATTCCAACATACATATATTAAGATCAGAGTATCCTAGAAAATGCAGAATCCTCAATGCTACCTAAACAGATGATCCTACTCTACAGCCACAACCAAACAAAGAACATGCAAGAAAGCCTAGATCAAGAGTCCGCAAGCTATCTTACATGACTACAGATAGTCCCTAGGGTACTCAACCAAATGATAACCAGCAAGAACATGTAACATACAGTTCTACAGATCACTACAGTGACGCAACATACTCGATACCAGGATACAGATTCTAACATATCACTACAACATAGTAGTATACTAAATATCAACAATCCAAGAAATGCATTACCATATATAAATTAGTGTTGAGATAGACACCTGGTAGGTGATCCTACTCTAGAACCACAACCAAACAAGGGATAGGTAAAACAGCCTATATCAAGATTCCTCAGTCTATCCTACATGACTACGTACAGTCCCTAGGCATCCCCCTACTAACAGATAACCAAAACTAGTGGGTCGACATCAGTGCCTTCGACCCATATGTATAGTGAGGCAAGACTCACCTCGATATCCGCATAGGTCACCATAGTAGCAATAAGGAATTCTACCAGCTTCAACTCACTTCCAATCACCTATACAAAGGTACTTGAATCAATCCCCGATCACAAGTCATAGTCACTTGTAACAGTGACTACTTCACATGAAATAACAATTAGGGATCCACAAAAAATCACGATTAAGGTTCAGTAAGGACAGTTAACCCATTAAGGACTTAACCACCTAAGGATAGGACCGATTAAGGTTTTACCTAGTCATTCTTGGGTATAATAATAATCCAAGCAATATCCCAAATACGCGCCCCCGATCATTGTCCGAAATAGGGTTTCCTGATTCTAGGGTTTCCCCCCTAAAATCATAATTACAGTTAGTGTTCCACACTTAACCTCTTAAGGACTTAAAGTCCAACTAACAATTCAATGTGGGTCCTGACAAAACTCTAAAACTAGGGTTTTCTTGACATTAAGATTTTCTAAACCCTAGTTAGGGTTTCCAATCCAAAAATGTGCCACTCGATCTAAGGTTAGATGCTTAGGTCACTTAGTGTTTAGTAAGTCGGGCACCACCCACTGCCACCTCGGGCAGTGGTGGTCGGTAGCGATTCATGGCGGTAGTCACTCACTCATGACAGCAGTGGTGGTTCACGAGTGATAAATCCAACAACCAAACACACATAAAATCTCCTACATCATGCAACCCACACTAGCACCAAAAAGAACACAAAAATGCTCAATACAACCACCAAGATGGTGGCAGACATTGGAAAGAGGTGGCCGCCACCACCTCATGGTGGTTTTGGTGGGTTTTATTCTTTTTTTTCGGTCAAGCAACCTCCATACGACATCATACCGCTGAAACAAGCACACACACATGAGAAAATACACACAAACACAGATACTCTCGTGGTGGCATGCAGCAGTCAGAGAAATGATAGCAAAAAGGGATAGTCGCTCAGAGCGACGACGACAGGACGTAATGTAGCAACAGAAGAAAATAGAGAAGGTGGGAGGGGGTTGCACCTTTACCGGAGAAAGGCAATAGCATCCACGACTTTCCGTTCTTCCAAGCTCCCCATTATCACGACGTCGGTCTCATCTTTGCCGGCAGCAGGAGTAACGTTGGTTGTTCAGTGGTTCAAATCAGCGACATTGGTGATGACGGCGGCCAGATATGTGGAGAGATAAGGTGGAGGCTGCTAACATTATTAGGGTTGGGGTTTGTAGTTGTATAAAAGACGAGAGGCAACAAAGGGGGGTCGGGTTTTTGTCCCGCCTCCATCCTTCAAACTTAAGTAACACCTGCCACAAACATTTTTAGATTAAGCCCAATAATTACCAAACAACCCCCAACTTCCACAATTCTATTCATAACTAGTCCAAAAGTAACACTTTAACCCCCGATTTCCAAAATTTACAACATTTAACTCCTTGCGCTAACACCCTGATGAATTATTACGGATTTGGGGCTAAAAGAAAATTATAAAAATACATCTTGGGGTTTTAGGGTTTATTATTTATTTATTAATTAATTTAGTTATTTTATTTTATTTAAATAGGATGTTACAATTCTCCCACACTTAAATTAGATTTCGTCCTCGAAATCAGCTCTTGCTTGCACTTCATGATGTCCTCCCCTACAATAACCAAGATGTACGAAAATCCACGGATTTAATTAGTCCAAGAGTTTCTCGGCCAAATGCTGGCATGCTAATCCCGCACAAAAGGGCACCAACAGAATGAAAGCTAACCGGTCACATACTGAACTGGACCACACCCCTAATCGGCTCTGAAAACCTAACAAATCTATCCACAATCAGCACTCTGGTTCACCCCCAATCCACTAACCAACAACTGCACTCGGTCTCACCCCCGATCTTCTAAACAACAACACTCGGGCTTCCAATTCCAACCAGATGATAACAAACAAGGAAACCCTCAACCTGAGCTCCTAACACCCTAGGTTCTAAAGCATAAGCAGGCCCTAAGGATGATATTACCACTAGAAGTAATACGAATCGAAGGAAAAATCCAACAATTGACGATGATCTTGCTACGAAATCAGAAGATTCAGCAGTTGCGCAGAAGTCTAGAACTTGAAGAAATTAGACCGAGAACTGGACCTTGGCATAAAGTCTTCTTGTTGCGAGGCTCCACTGTCCCCCACTTGAAATATGCTAGAATCTGACAACTTCACAATCCTTCGATACCCAGACTAACCTAAAATCCACCACTTAATCCCAACCACTGATACCCAAATACACAGGAGAATCAGAATCCACACAACATTTGTAAATCCCAATACACATACAATATGATGACAAAGATAATTAATCCATTCGTAACAAGAAATAAAATTTGATTAAGCTAACTAAGATAACTCCATTCAAATGATCATCCAAGATGACAACTAAACTTCAAAACTTAAACAGAATACACAGATGAATACCAGTACCACTATGATTGTTGAATAGAAGATCTGCCAACTTAAATCTTGGTCCTTGGGACTCCGGTCGTCCCATGACGGCCGTCAGGTAACTGCCAAGCTAAGGGTGTAGGATCCAGCACCCCACAAAAAACGAGAAAATGACAACAAGCTCTGATGTGACCTTCCTGGCTGCAATAGAAACAAACTTGTGCACTCCGCCTGCAATCTCTACCAAATGGCCCTCCTCGCCACATCTATGACATAGAAAGATATGCGCCTCCCACTAACTGATCCCAAACTCTGGCTGGCGGACTTAAACCGCTTTGCTGCGGGTTGAGACAGAACCAGCGCCTGACGATGCTCCTTCTTCCGGGTCTTTATCTCAATCTCCCATCTCCTCATGGCATCCTGAAGCTCAGCGAGGGTGCTATAT